CCCCCCCAATGTCCCAGTGTGGTAGAACCCTACAGTCTGAGCACTTGGCCACAAAGGAGTGATGGGTGGGCTTCTGGGTTCCTCTCCTTGGTGACTTGGGTGTATTAATTACAATAATACACATTACTTTTTCAGGTCAGTCTTTGAGAGAGACTAGGAACATGGTAGGAACGGGGATAGAGGTATCTTTTGGGGAAATCATATTTTCAGTGCACTCCTGCCAGCTTGGGACAGAGGGACAGTGATGTGAACAGTAGGAAGTGGCATCCCTTTCACACAGAAATGTCCATGAAGGAACAGCTCTTCAGGTGACCCAAATGCTTTCTGCAGTGAGCCCCTTCCTCCAGTCTTGGTGGGAAGCAAGAGGAACTGGCAGGCAGCATCCTGTGGCACTTTACATCTTGTCTGTCTTACGTTCCCCCACGTTTAGAAAAGAGCATAAAGCTTCTATAGACAGTTGATACTCTAAGGAAGATACCATTTTAGCATTATAATTTCTGCTTTTTCTTCTTTTTTTTTTTCAAGGGATGGGACAACAGCCAGATCCGGCTTTTGGGCGAGTGTCTAGTCCTCCCAATGCAATGATGCCCTCAAGAATGGGGCCCTCCCAGAATCCCATGATGCAACACCCTCAGACCGCGCCCATGTATCAGTCCTCGGAAATAAAAGGCTGGCCATCAGGAAACCTGGCCAGGAACAGGTGAAGAACAGAGACTTTAAAGGCCATTCACATTCTAGTGCCCAGAAATTCAGGAAATTAACCTCTGCATTTTTCTGTGTGGATGGAGAGATCAAAAGCCTGTGTGGATGGAGAGATCAAAAGGCCTGGGTTCATCTTAGAAAGTGTGGTATTTGGCTCATCCATTTTGAGGCTTCTTCCTCCCCTATGCATGCCTAGGAAGCTTTGATTGCACACAGCTGTGAAACCTAGAAGGCAGGAGGCAGTCAGGGAATCTTCTCTCCCTCCTGTTCTCTGCTTAAGTACAGCAACATTTGACAGTTGTGATGGTCTCTGCGTGCATGTCTGGTGTTACTAGAATGAGCCAGGAGGTAATTTCACACTTCTTTTTACAGCTCCTTTCCCCAGCAGCCGTTTGCCCACCAGGGGAACCCCGCAGCATACGGTATGGTGCACATGAATGGCAGCAGTGGTCCCATGGGACAGGTGAACGTGAACCCCATGCCCATGTCTGGCATGCCCATGGGTCCTGATCAGGTATGGGGCTCTAGCCTGAACTTTTCTCAAAAAATTTTTCCTTTTCTCTTGAGAGAACCCAAACTTCAACTGTAATCTAAAGGTCCTCGGCAGATCTTTAACTTGGGCGTGTAACTCAGAACTACAGTGGTTGAAAAAAACTTGTGGTTTGAAGGCATTGGGCCATTAAATATGTTTTCGGTAATGTGAGATCTAAGGAATTGGAGTCAGCCAGAGTCAGGTTGCAGGCCATCATTATAGACCTATGGATTCTTCTGTGTTGTGCAGAGCATATGTTTTACTCACGTGTCTTCTGGTTGCTAACAGAAATATTGCTGACACTTCTACACCTCCAAGGAAGTCACTGTAGAAATGACACTGCACTAGAACTATTGGAAGTAAAGAATCGTCCCACGGACCTGCCAGCTCTGAAGAGGGAACCAGCTTTGATCTCTGTGAAGGGTATTCCAAGTGATGTCATTGGAGCAGGACTGGGTTTGAAATTGAAGTGCGATGTCTACCTGTATTTTTCCTTCTTCTGTGTATCATGGGATTCAAAACAAATATTTTTTTGACATTCTGCCTCTTAGGGATGTGATTCTGGAGGTACGGAGTGTTACTGATCACAAAACTCTGCTGTGTCCCTTCTTTCTGCCTGTCAGTGTTTCAGATAAATGTGGGTGGGCTAGAGAACACTGGAGAAGTACGGCGAGATTAGGATGTCTGGTCTCTCTAGTGGCAGTAGCAGGTAAAGAGCACAGCCCCAGCCCTCCCGTGTTCTTGTCGCTACCAGATACTCCGTGTTCTCACCCTCTGTCCTGAGAAGTTGGCTTGTCCTATAATGATTGTGTTGAGTTGCTCCAATCCTGTTCTTGGTTGTCCTGGACTTTTTCCTAAATAGGAATTTCCTCTGTCCCTAACGTCCTAGAATACTTCACCTCCAGGAACTGTCCTTAATGTCCTATGGTTTTGCAGAAGGGGAAATGACAGTATTTAATTGCAGCAGTAGCAGTTTTTTCACATGCTAATGTGCAGCTGAGTGCACTTTATTTAAAAAGTAATGGATACATGCAATATTCTGGAGGTCTTGAGGAATGGCGAACCACATTCCCGCCTGGTTTTTGTCTGAACGAATCAGTTGGACGAGAACTATGATTGTTTTGTCGTCGTCGAGAGTACCCGTGTCACCCTTTGCCTATATGGTAGAGCAATAATGCTTTTTGAAAATAAACTGCAGAAACCCAAGGCCAGGTACTGCATTCTGAATCAGAATTTTGCAGTGTTTCTGTGAATAGATTCTCTTTTGTAAATACGATCTTTAAGATATTGTATTATGTAAAATATGTATATACCTTTTTTGCAGGTCACGGCAACTCATTTTTACAGAGTTTGTGAAGCTAAATATTTAACATTGTTGACTTCAGTAAGCTCAGTGTGGTGAGGCTGCAAACAGAAGAGACAGCCCCTGAATTTTTTGGCCTGGGGGAGGGGGGGCAGTGGTCTGCAGCTCCCCACCTCCCCCCCCTCCCCGCCCCCCTAGTGATAGATGGTTCCCTATCAGTCTCTTAATCTTAAATGCTTTCGAAAAAGATCATTTGTTTAGATGTAGGCATTTTCAACTTGTCTTTTAAATTCCTCTACCAGAACTAAGCACTTTGTTAATTTTAGGGGAAAGAATAGATAGGGGGAAATAAACTTTAAAAAAAAAAAAATCAAGAATTTTAAAAGATCAAGCGATTTAAAAAAGAATCTTGGATTTTAAGTGGTCCATAAATTAATAGCAATTCATAGTATTTTGTTTTTTAATCGAAATACGTTGCCTTTCATCGGTTGTAGGAGTTTCCGTAAGGTTTTGGTTGCTAGGACCCAAATCCCACATTGAGATCTCAGGGGTTGAACCCTTGATGTGTGGTTTCCGGTGTCTGCTTGGCTGTCTCATCACTGAGATGTGTGTTCTCGTCCCTGAGAACTAGAGGAGCGACACGGTGGTTCCTTAGGGAGCTCAGCCTCCAGGACAGCCAGGTCGTCGAGCTCCAGAGCTGGAGTCCAGCAGAGCGAGTCCCTTTGCACCCGCTGCTCCTGCCCCTTTTGTGCTGTTTGTCAGGCTTTGACTCTTGTTTTAGTCCGTTGGGGATAGAGAAAAAGTCCATTTAATTCCTTCTATCTGGTTCACTTTATTAGCTTCAAATAGCTGAGTGAAATTGGGTTTTAAAAATGTCTTGTGAATTTCAAAGGCCTTTGCTAGCTTTGGTGTCAATTTCCTAGCAATAACTGAGAGCCAGTTCACTTTTATTTTATTTCATACGTGTTTAGGCGATTTTTCTAGGTGTCTCTGAAGGTAAGATCATTTCATTTCTTTGATTTCTGTGTAAGTAAAACCTGTATTTCCAGAACCACCAGTGGAATAGATTTGGATTTTACACCGTCTCCCCCACCACCCGGTTAAAAATAAATCTAAGATTGTAAATCCATCAACTTCCATCATAGTGGCCTGTACTTTTTAGATAACACATTCTCCTGTCTGGAGACAGAGGCGTAGCTGAGTAAGAGTCTGTCTTAATAGTTACAGCCGTGTCAGGTATCTGAACTTTTCTCCTTTAAGTCCTGGGTGCGTGGGGAGAAACAGAATGGTGCTCTTACCTTTCTTGACTTTTGAAAAGTTAAAA